GCTGTTGTTTCTAAAAACAACATTGCCATACTCAAGGTCATCTAAATTTTTGCCTATATTTTCTTCTATGAGTTTTCTATTTTTGCCTTTTACTTTTTGTTTGAAACAAGTTTCTAGTTAACTTTCCTGAAGGACGTAAGATCTATGTCTAGATTAGTTTTTGTTTTTTTTTTTGCGCTTGGATGTCCAGTTTGTTCCAGCACCATTTGTTGAAAAGACTATCTTTGCTTCATCTATTTTTGCTCCTTTGACAGAGATTAGCTGACTATGTAATGTCAGTGTATTTCTAAGCTCTCTATTCTGTTCCATGCACATTACCTTGATTACCGTAGCAGTGTAGTAAGTCTTCAGGTTGAGTAGTGTCAATACTCCTATTTTGTTCTTTGTCTTCAATCTTGTGCTGGCTTTTCTGGGTCTTTGGTCCCTTTATATAAACTTTGGAATCAGTTCCTTTTTGTCAGTTCACTTCTTTTTTAACTGGAGGAAAACTGCTTTACAATGCTGTGTTGGATTCTTTGTGGAAGCGTGAGGTCTTCTGCCAGCATTTAGTAGGTGTTCTGTAGGAGTTGTTCCACATGCAGAAGTATTTTTGATGTATTTGTGGGGAGGAAGATGATCTCCAAGTCTTACTCCTCCACCATCTTGAAAGTCTCCCCTAGAATCTGTTTGTTGATATGCACAAAGTAACTTGCTTAGATTTGATTGAAACTGCATTGAATCTATAGATCAATTTGGGCAGGACAGGCATCATGACAATGCTGATGTCATGTGATCAGTAAACATGGAATATCTCTCCATTTATTTCATTCTTTAATTTTGTTCATCAGAGTTTTGTAGTCTTCCTTATAATACATTTTGTACATATTTTGTTACACTTATTCCTACTTCACTTTTGGGTGCTAATGTATTGTTTTAAATTGCAAATTCCTTTGTTCATCATTAATATACAGCAAAGAGATTGATTTTTGTATAGTGTTAACCTTGTACCCTAAAACTTTGCTGTAATCACTTAGTAGTTCAGTAGTTTTTTTGTTAATTCTTTCAGGTTTTCTATATAGATGATTATGTCATCTGAGTTAAAAAACAGTTTATTTCTTCATTTTCATTCTGTATTTCTTTTACTAACATTTACTTTTTCTTATCTTATTTCAGTTTCAGGGATATCCTCTTTCACATATGATATTAGTACTTTTTTCTTAGTTATCTTGGGTGGAGGCTTATTGATTTTATAGATCTTTTCTGAGAACCATCTTTTAGTTTCATTGATTTTCTCTATTGACTTTCTGTTTTCAATTTTACTGATTTCTGCTCTAATTCTTTTATATTTTAATTTTTCATTGAGATATAATTGATATATAATGTTAGTTTCAGTTGTATAACAAATCAATTATATATTTGTATACACTTTGAAGTGACCATGATTGTAAGTCTACTAAACATTCATCACCGTACGTAGATAGAAAAATCTTTTTCTTATGATGAATATTTTTAGGATCTACTCTCTTCAGTTCAGTTCAGAAGCTCAGTCATGTCTGACTCTTTGCAACCCCATGAATTGCAGCACGCCAGGCCTCCCTGTCCATCACCAACTCCCGGAGTCTACCTAAACCCATGTCCATTGAGTCGGTGATGCCATCCAGCCATCTCATCCTCTGTCATCCCCTTCTCCTCCTGCTCCCAATCCTTCCCAGCATCAGGGTCTTTTCCAGTGAGTCAGCTCTTCATGTGAGGTAGCCAAAGTATTGGAGTTTCAGCTTCAACATCAGTCCTTCCAATGAACACCCAGGACTGATCTCCTTCAGGATGGACTGCTTGGATCTCCTTGCAGTCCAAGGGACTCTCAAAAGTCTTCTCCAACACCACAGTTCAAAACCATCAATTCTTCGGCGCTCAGCTTTCTTCACCGTCCAACTCTCACATCCATACATGACTACTGGAAAAAAACCCATAGCCTTGGCTAGATGGACCTTTGTTGGCAAAGTAATATCTCTGCTTTTAAATATGCTACCTAGGTTGCTCATAACTTTCCTTCCAAGGAGGAAGTGTCTTTTAATTTCATGGATGCAATCAACATCTGCAGTGATTTTGGAGCCCAGAAAAATAAAGTCAGCCATTGTTTCCACTGTTTCCCCATCTATTTGCCATGAGGTGATGGGACCAGATGCCATGATCTTAGTTTTCTGAATGTTGAGCTTTAAGCCAACTTTTTCACTCTCCTCTTTCACTTTCATCAAGAGGCTCTGTAGTTCTTCACTTTCTGCCATAAGGGTGGTGTCATCCTGCATATCTGAGGTTGTTGATATTTCTCCCAGCAATCTTGATTCCAGCTTGTGCTTCTTCCAGCCCAGCGTTTCTCATGATGTACTCTTCATATAAGTTAAATAAGCAGGGAGACAGTATACAGCCTTGACGTACTTCTTTTCCTATTTGGAACCAGTCTGTTGTTCCATGTCCAGTTCTAACTGTTGTTTCCTGTCCTGCATACAGACTTCCCAAGAGACAGGTCAGATGGTCTGGTATTCCCATTTCTTTCAGAATTTTCCACAGTTTATTGTGATCCACACAGTCAAAGGCTTTGGCATAGTCAATAAAGCAGAAATAGACGTTTTTCTGGAACTCTCTTGCTTTTTCGATGATCCAGTGGGTGTTGGTGATTTTATCTCTGGTTCCTCTGCCTTTTCTAAAATCAGCTTTAACATCTGGAAGTTCACGGTTCACGTATTGCTGAAACCTGGCTTGGAGAATTTTGAGCATTACTTTACCAGAGTGTGAGATGGGTGCAACTGTGTGGCAATTCGAGCATTCTTTGGCATTGCCTTTCTTTGGGATTGGAATGAAAACTGACCTTTTCCAATCCTGTGGCCACTGCTGAGTTTTCCAAATTTGCTGGCATATTGAGTGCAGCGCTTTCACAGCATCATCTTTCAGGATTTGAAATAGCTCAACTGGAATTCCATCACCTCCACTAGCTTTGTTCGTAGTGATACTTTCTAAGGCCCACTTGACTTCCTATTCCAGGCTGTCTGGCTCTAGGTGAGTGATCGCACTCTTCGCAACTCTCTTAGCAACTTCCAAATACACAATACAGAATTACTAACTTTCAAAGAGGCAGAGGAAGAGATCAAATGAAAATTCCCACAAGCTGCAACTAATACCCAATGCAGCCAAGATAAAAATTTAAAAATAGATATTAAAAAATACAATAATGAGTAAAGCACAGGGAATTCTAATCAGTACTCCCTAATGGCCTACACCCCCCTCCAGTGTTCCTGCCTGGAGAATCCCAGGGACAGAGGAGCCTGGTGGGCTGCCGTCTGTGGGGTTGCACAGAGTCGGACATGACTGCAGTGACTTAGCAGCAGCAGCAATCGCCTATATGGGGAAAGAATATAAAAGAGAGTGGATATATGTATGTATATAACTGATTCACTTTAGTATACACCTGAAACTAACACAACATTCTAAATCAACTATACTCCAATTGGAATTTTTAAAACTAATGCTACAGTTTATAGTAAGAATTTGACGAAGATCAAGTAAATGTTGAGACTATGGATCAATAGAAGAGATGGAAATTTTTAAAAAGTGCCTTTACTACTGATGAAGTTAATTGAAACATGTAATCTTTCATCCACAGCTGAGTGGACTTGCTGTTTCTTCCGTTCAGAATAGATCTTACCAACAATAATTGGCACAGCTAGAAAGTGCAGACCTTCTCTGCATGCGTGAGAACAGATGAAAATGCATGCTTTCTGCAAATGAGTAGACTTAACAAAAGAATCCAGAAGTGGCCAAGTTGTAATTCCGTCTCCTAAACTTTCCTGTAGGATTAGTCATTTCTCTTTCCTGGTAATGTGTGAATGAGGGACATAGAGAAGCCAGAAATGTCAATTTAGCTAAGTTGCCTCTGTAAAGATTCAGAAAAACTGGCAAAAAGTTTCCTACCTAGCAGTCCACATACAATACTTTATTATAGAAGTTGCATTTCAAATAAATGGATAATTCAATGAATGTATTAGTGTTCCTGGTTAACTTTTTAAAACACAGTTAAATTCTAAAACTCGGTACATTTCATAGAGACAGCTTGTTTTCTATGTATATTATACACTATTGTAAAAACTTTTAAAAAGCATGTGTGATATGAGATCATTTTAATTAAAAGATGCATGTGTATTTGTTCATTTGTTTACACATATATATTTATGTCAATCTGGAAGGACATGCATGAAAATGTTACCAGTTATTTCTAGGTTATAGAAATGTAAGTCTTATCTTTTCTTTTACAGTAATCATGTCTTTTTACTCAGCTAAAATAAAATTATTTTTTATAAATGTTATATGACCAATTGTTATTCTTTTATAGTCTAAATTAAACCAGTAGATAGAAACAGTGTTTTAAAACTTTTAAAAACTATTTACACAATCTTACACTCAGAAATACTCAAAACCTAGGTATAGTTAGGAATACCATTTTTCTGAAAGTAGTTTCTAAAATAAGATTTCTTTAATAGTGTATGATAGTATAGAATTAGAAGTCACAATCATGATTTATTATTCTAACTTGTACATAATTATGGCATGTACATAATATCTATTTCCTAGGCTTTCTGTTTCTTAGATTAATTAAATTTAGTCCAATGAACAAATGTAATGATGTTACATAAACTAAAATTGGGGCTTTCCTGGCAGCTCTGGTGGTACAGAATCTGCCTGCAATGCTGGAGACCTAGGCTTGATCTCTGTGTTGGGAAGATGCCCTGAAGAAGGGAATGGCTACCCACTCCAGTTTTCTGACCTGGAGAATGCCATGGACAGAGAAGCCTGGCAGGCTACAATCCATGGGCATCATTTACTATTTCTTGCCATTGTTGTACAACAATAATGTTTTTTCCTTGAACAATAGATATTCTTGCCTTAGATTTTGCTATAGCTAGCTGTATATAAGCTAAAATATTATAATTTGGTTTAAAGTAATGTTTACCTTCTTTTTCTTTATTTAGGTATAATGTCCACGGCTTGGGATTTGTATGATTCTTACAATGCTATGGAGCTTTCAACTTTACCACCAAAACGACCTATGATGGACTCAAGTAGTAAAGCAAGTGTACCTTCAAAAGACTGGGAACAATCAGTGCCAGGGAGTAATTTAGAAAAAAGTAAGATTTCATTTATTTCAGTTTTTTAAAATTAGGATAATTGAATTATAATTTTATGTTAGTTTCACATGTGCAACATAATAATTTGGTCTTTGTGTATACTACAAAGTGATCACCACAATAAGTCTAGTTACTGTCACTCTGTAAACTTCCCTCTCTATTTCACCTACCCCTCACCCACCTTCCCCTCTAATAGCCATCAATGTATTTATGAGTTTTGTTATTTTGTTCGTTTGTTTTTGTTTTTGTTATAACTTTTTATAGTCTGCATATGAGTGCAACTGTATAGTAGTTTGAGCATTCTTTGGCATGCTTTTCTTTGGGATTGTAATGAAAGCTGACATTTTCCAGTCCTGTGGCCACTGCTGAGTTTTCCAAATTTTCTGGCATATTGAGTGCAGCACTTTCACAGCATCATCTTTCAGGATTTGAAATAGCTCAACTGGAATTCCATCACCTCCACTAGCTTTGTTCGTGGTGATGCTTCCTAAGGTCCACTTGAATTCACATTCCAGGATGTCTGGCTCTAGGTGAGTGATCATGCCATTGTGATTATCTGGGTCATGAAGATCTTTTTTGTACAGTTCTTCTGTGTATTGTTGCCACCTCTTCTTAATATCTTCTGCTTCTGTTAGGTCCCTACCATTTCTGTCCTTTATTGAACCCATCTTTGCATGAAATATTCCCTTGATATCTCTAATTTTCTTGAAGAGATCTCTAGTCTTTCCCATGCTATTGTTTTCCTCTATTTCTTTGCATTGATCGCTGAGGAAGGCTTTCTTATCTCTATATCTTTCTTATCATGCTAGTAAAGTAATGCTTAAAATTCTCCAAACCAGGCTTCAGCAATACGTGAACCATGAATTTCCAGTTGGTCAGCTGTTTTAGAAAAGGCAGAGGAACCAGAGATCAAATTGCCAACATCTACTGGATCATCGAAAAAGCAAGAGAGTTCCAGAAAAACATCTATTTCTGCTTTATTGACTATGCCAAAGCCTTTGACTGTGTGGATCAGAAAAAACTGGAAAATTCTGAAAGAGATGGGAATACCAGACCACCTGACCTGCCTCTTGAGAAACCTGTATGCAGGTCAGGAAACAACAGTTAGAACTGGACATGGAACAACAGACTGGTTCCAAATAGGAAAAGGAGTATGTCAAGGCTGTATATTGTCACCCTGCTTATTTAACTTACATGCAGAGTACTTCATGAGAAATGCTGGGCTGGAAGAAGCACAAGCTGGAATCAAGGTTGCTGGGAGAAATATCAATAACCTCAGATATGCAGATGACACCACCCTTATGGCAGAAAGTGAAGATGAACTAAAGAGCCTCTTGATGAAAGTGAAAGAAGAGAGTGAGAAAGTTGGCTTAAAGCTCAACATTCAGAAAACTAAGATCATGGCATCTGGTCCCATCACTTCATGGCAAATAGATGGGGAAACAGTGGAAACAGTGTCAGATTTTATTTTTTTGGGCTCCAAAATCACTGCAGATGGTGATTGCATCCATGAATTTAAAAGACGCTTACTCCTTGGAAGGAAAGTTATGAGCAACCTAGATAGCATATTAAAAAGCAGAGACATTATTTTGCCAACAAAGGTTATGGTTTTTCCAGTGGTCATGTATGGATGTGAGAGTTGGACAGTGAAGAAAGCTGAGCGCTGAAGAATTGATACTTTTGAACTGTGGTGTTGGAGAGGACTCTTGAGAGTCCCTTGGACTGCAAGGAGATTCACCCAGTCCATCCTGAAGGAGATCAGTCCTGGGTGTTCATTGGAAGGACTGATGTTGAAGCTGAAACTCCAGTACTTTGGCCACCTGATGTGAAGAGCTGACTGATTGGAAAAGACCCTGATCCTGGGAAAGATTGAGGGCAGGATGAGAAGGGGACGACAGAGGATAAGATGGTTGGATGGCATCACCAACTCAATGGACGTGGGTTTTCGTAGACTCCAGGAGTTGGTGATGCAAAGAGAGGCCTAGCATGCTGCAATTCATGGGGTCACAAAGAGTCGGATGTGACTGAGTGACTGAACTGAACTGAGTCTGCATATGAGTGAAATCATACAGTATTTGTCTTTCTCTCTCTGTTTTATTTCACTTACCATTGTTCTTGTTCAGTTGCTCAGTTGTGTCCAACTCTTTGCAACCCCATGGACTATAGCACACCAGGCTTCCCTGTCCTTTACCATCTCCCAGGGCTAGCTCAAACTCATGTCCATTGAGTCTTGGTTCCATCCAACTGTCTCATCCTCTGTTGTCCCCTTCTCCTACCTTCACAGTTTCCCAGCATCAGGGTCTTATTTCTAATGAGTTGGCTTTTCTCATCAGGTGGCCTAAGTATTGGAGATTCAGTTTCAGCATCAGTCCTTCCAATAAATATTCAGGGTTGATTTCTTTTCAGATTGACTGGTTTGATCTTGCATCCAAGGGACTCTCAAGAGTCTTCTCCAATGCCAAAGTTCAAAAGCATCAATTCTTCACTGTGTTCAGCCTTCTTTATGGTCCAACTCTCACATCCATACTTGACTACTGGAAAAACTATAGCTTTGACTATACAGACCTTTGTTGGCAAAGTAATGTCTCTGCTGTTTAGGTTGGTCATGGCTTTTCTTCCAAGGAGCAAGTGTCTTTTAATTTCATGGCTGCAGTCACCATCTGCAGTGATTTTGGAGCCCAAGAAAATAAAGTCTATCACTTTTTCCATTGTTTCCCTATGTATTTGCTATGAAGTGATGGGACCAGGTGCCATGATCTTAGTTTTCTGAATGTTGAGTTTTAAGCCAGCTTTTTCCCTCTCTTTCACCTTCATCAAAAGGCTCTTCAGTTCCTCTTCACTTTCTGCCATAAGAATGGTGCCATCCGCATATCTGAGGTTACTGCTATTTCTCCTGGCAATCTTGATTCTGCTTGTGCTTTATCCAGCCTGGCATTTTGCATGATGTAATCTGCATATAGGTTAAATAAGCAGAGTGACAATACACATCCTTAACGAACTCCTTTCCCAATTTAGAACCAGTCCATTGTTCCATGTCCAGTTCTAGCTGTTGCTTCTTGACCTGCATACAGATTTCTCAGGATGCAGGTAAAGTGGTCTGGTATTCCCATCTCTAAGAATTTTCTACATTTTGTTGTGAGCCACACACTCAAAGACTTTCGCATAGTCAATGAAGCCGAAGGAGATGTTTTTCTGGAATTCTCTTATTTTTTCTATGATCCAACAGATGTTGGAATTTAATCTCTGGTTTCCCCTGCAGTTTCTAAATCCTGCTTGAACATCTGGGAGTTCTCGGTTCACGTCCTATTGAAGCCTAGCTTGGAGAATTTTGAGCGTTACCTGCCAGTGTGTGACATGAATGCAATTGTGCGGCAATTTGAACATTCTTTGGCATTGCCCTTCTTTGGAACTGGAAAGAAAACTGACCTTTTCCAGTCTGTGGCCACTGCTGAGTTTTCCTCATTTGCTGGCATAATGAGTGCAATATTTCACAGCATCATCTTTTAGGATTTGAAATAGCTCAGCTGGAATTCCATCACTTCCACTAGCTTTGTTGGTAGTGATGCTTCCTAAGGCCCACTTGACTTTGCATCCCAGGATGTCTGGCTCTAGGTGAGTGATCACACCTTTGTGGGTCATTAAGATATTTTTTGTATAGTTCTGTGTATTCTTGCCACCTCTTCTTAATATCTTCTGCTTCTGTTGTGTCCATACTGTTTCTATTCTTTATTGTGCCCATCTTTGCATGAAATGTTCCCTTGGTATCTAATTTCCTGAAGAAATCTCTAGTCTTTCCCATTCTATTGTTGTCCTCTATTTCTTTGCATTAATCACTGAGGAAGGCTTTCTTTTTTTTTTATTTTTATTTTATTTTATTTTATTTTTTTTTTTTTATCACAACCATAGTGTATCTTTTTTTTTTTTTTTTTTACGAGGAAGGCTTTCTTATCTCTCCTTGCTATTCTTTGGAACTCTGCATTCAGATTGGTATATCTTTCCCTTTGTCCTTTTCTTGTCACTTCTCTTCTTTTCTCAGCTATTTGTAAGGCTTCCTCAGATAGTTACTTTGCTTTTTTTCATTTCTTTTTCTTGGGGGTGGTCTTGATCCCTGCCTTCTGTACAATGTCATGAACCTCCGTCCATAGTTCTTTAGGTACTCTATTAGATCTAATCCCTTGAATCACTGCCACTGTATGCAAGGGATTTGATTTAGGTCATACCTGAATGGCCTCTTGAGAAACCTGTATGTAGTTCAGGAAGCAACAGTTAGAACTGGACATAGAACAGCAGACTGGTTCCAAATAGGAAAAGAAGTACGTCAAGGCTGTATATTGTCACCGTGCTTATTTAAGTTATATGCAGAATACATCATGAGAAATGCTGGGCTGGAAGAAGCACAAGCTGGAATTAAGATTGCCGGGAGAAATATCAAGAACTTCAGATATGCAGATGACACCACCCTTATGGCAGAAAGTGAAGAGGAACTGAAAAGCCTCTTGATGAAAGTGAAAGAAGAGAGTGAAAAAGTTGGCTTAAAGCTTAACATTCAGAAAACTAAGATCATGGCATCTGGTCCCATCACCTCATGGGAAATAGATGGGGAGACAGTGGAAACAGTGTCAGACTTTATTTTTTTGGGCTCCAAAATCACTGCAGATGGTAATTGCAGCCATGAAATTAAAAGACGCTTACTCATTGGAAGGAAAGTTTTGACCAACCCAGATAGCATATTAAAAAGCAGAGACATTACTTTGCCAACAAAGGTCTGTCTGGTCAAGGCTATGGTTTTTACAGTAGTCATGTATGGATGTGAGAGTTGGACTGTGAAGAAAGCTGAGCACCGAAAAATTGATGGTTTTGAACTGTGGTGTTGGAGAAGACTCTTGTGAGTCCCTTGGACTGCAAGGAGATCCAATCAGTCCATCCTGAAGGAGATCAGTCCTGGGTGTTCACTGGAAGCACTGATGCTGAAGCTGAAACTTCAATACTTTGGCCACCTCATTGAAGAGTTGACTCACTGGAAAAGACCCTGATGCTGGGAGAGATTGGGGGCATGAGGAAACGGGGACGACAGAGGATGAGATGGCTGGATGGCATCACCAATTCGATGGGCATGAGTTTGAGTAAACTCCGGGAGTTTGTGATGGACAGGGAGGCCTGGCGTGCTGCAATTCATGGGGTCGCAAAGAGTCGGACACGACTGAGTGACTGAACTGAACTGAACTGAACTTACTGAATGGCCTAGTGGTTTTCCCTACTTTCTTCAATTTAAGTCTGAATTTTGCAATAAGGAGTTTGTGATCTGAGCCATAGTCAGCTTCCGGTCTTGTTTTTGCTGACTGTATAGAGTTTCTCCATCATCGGCTACAAAAAGTATAATCAGTCTGATTTCACTATTCACATCTGGTGATGTCCATGTGTAGAGTCTTCTCTTGTGGTGTTGGACGATGGTGTTTGCTATGACCAGTGCGTTTTCTTGGTGAAACTCTGTTAGCCTTTGCCCTGCTTCATTTTGTACTGCAAGGCCAAACTTGCCTGAATCCGGGTATCTCTTGACTTCCTACTTTTGCATTCCAGTTCCCTATGATGAAAAGGACCACTTAATGTAATGCCTTGCATTTCCCTGATAATTGGTGATGTTGAACATCTCATGTGCCATTTTGGAAAAATGTCTCTTTAGCTTATCTTCTGTCATTTTTTTTTTGTTTGTTTTGTTTTTTTGCTATTGTGTTCTTTGAGCTCTTTATATATTTTGTATTAACCCCTTATCCGATATATGGTTTGCAAATACTTTCTCCCATTCAGTAGGTTGTCTTTTCATTTTACTGATGGTTTCCCTTGCTATGCAGAAGGTTTTTAGTTTCTTTCCCTCTGTATATAAGACAGTATTTTTTCCTTGGTGCTTTCTATATTTTTGTTTTGTTTTCAGTTTTCAGAAGCTTGAGTATGGTGTAGCTTGGTGTGAATTTCTTTAGGTTTATCTCCTTTGGAATTCACTGTTTCTTAATACTGTATGTTTTTCTTTGCCAAATTTTGGAAAATTTCAGCTATTATTTCTTCAAGTACTTTTTTGGTCTCATCCTTTTCTCCTCTCCCCAGTGACGTGAATATTATATATCTTGTTAGAGGTCTTTGGACCTCTATTCATGTATATATATACACATACATGTATATATACATATATATGTGTGTATATATATATATATGCAGATGATTTTCTTTCTGGTTTTCAGATTTGGTAATTTCTATTTTTCTGTCTTCAAGTTCACTGATTCTCTTCTCTGTCCTTTCCATTTTGCTGTTGAGCCCATCTGTTGAATTTTTTGTCAGATATTTTTTATGTCAGATATATTTTATCTGTTGTCAGATAATTTAAGCATATCTGTCATCTCAGTGTTGGTTTGTATTGATTTTGTTCATTTTTTTGTTTCACTTAAGTAGAGATTTTCTTGGTTCTTTGATCAGTGACGTTCAGTTGAAATTTAGAAACTTGGATTATTATGTTTTGAGAACTGGATCTTGTTTAAACTTCATTTTTAGCAGGATTTGTTTGACACTATTTTGACAGGGAAATTTACTGCTCCATTACCGCTGGGTGAAAGGAGAAGTGGGGTTTACTGCTCCATTTTGTGTTGTGTGTGTGCACGTGCACACGTTCACTCAGTCATGTCTGACTCTTTGCAACCTCATGGACTGTAGTCCACCAGGTTCCTCTGTCCATGGAATTTTCCAGGCAAGAATATTGGAAAAGGTTGCCATTTCCTACTCCAGGGTATCTTCCTGATCCAGGGATTTAACCTGGGTCTCTTGCATCTCCTAACTGGCAGCAGATTCTTTACCACTAGCACCACCTGCGAAGCACCCATTACTGGAGTAGAAATCCATATTTTTCACTTGCCCTTCAATTACATTGAGGGAGGGGATCATCTCATTACTTTTCTGTAATGTTAGCTGGGGAGCTCTAACCTTGTGTAAGTTAGATAGTTAGCTCTAACTTTCATTGATATATACGTGGCTGGGAGGGATAGGAGCACCTCATTAACACTTCCTGACACCAAGGATTGGGACTTGACTTTATTACTTTGGGGCAGTTCTGTGAGTTCTGACTGTACCAGTCCAACTCTGACTATAGGGAAGAACCTTGTTACTGCCAGATAGCTGTGGAATTCCATGTTCTCCAAGAGATCTTAACTGACATTGCACAAGGGCAGCACAGTCATTTTTTTCGTTTTTGGGTAGGATTGAAAGTCCTGGCTCCTTACTGAGACTTTTCTGACACCACACCCACTGGAAGGCTGGGAGATTGGAAAGCCTTGTTAGAACCTGGCAAGAATGGAAGTCTAGACTTCTCGCTTGGCTAGTGGTATTTGTGGAATGGGTGGGGCTACAATTTTTTCTCTGTTTTTTTTTTCTGGAGAGAAATGGTTATATCCTAAAAGTTTTCTTTCTTGCAAGGTTGTTCTTTTCCTGAGTTTTGGCTAAAGAGAGGAGGTTTGTCTGGAGTATCTGCAGTAATTAAAAATCCAGGGAACTCACCACTGTGTCATTCCCTGGGTCCTGAGCAATCTTTTTCCTCTGCCTTCTTCTGTCAAAGGCTTTCAAAGGCTTCCTCTAAAAAAAAAAAAAAAAATTAATGTCCCAAGATTTTTAGTTGTATTTAGCAAAGGAATAGGGAAAAGTGTGTGTATTCCATCTTCATGGATGCAGGATTCCCCTTCATTCTGTTTTTATTAAGTAATAGGTAGAATAATTATTCCTCAAATATATACACATCCTGATCTCAGGAATCTATGAATAGATTACCTTACATGAGATAAGAGACTATCCAGATGTGACTACATTAAGGATCTAAAAGAGGGAGGTTATCCTGGATTATCTGAGTGGACCCAAACCAATCAAATGGGTACTTTGGAGTACTTTTTCCATTTCTGGTCAGAGAGAGATGTAATGGCAGGACCATCAGAGAGATGCAATGTTGCTGTCTTTTGAAGATGGATGACCGGTTGGTGGTGGCTTCTAGAAATTGGCAAGGAAATTAATTCTCTAGAGCCTTCAGAAAGGAACATAACCCTAATAACCTTTTGGTTTTGGCCAAGTGAGACCTGGGTTGATCTCTAACCTACAGAACTTTAAATTTGTATCCACTTTAAATTTAATTTTAAATTTAATCCAGAACTTTAAATTTAATCCACCAAATTTTTGGTAATTTGTTATAGCATTAATAAACAACAGTAGTGTAGTAGTCCTATAAAGCAATAAATTAAACCTTTATCTGAAGGTGTAATGAAGACTGATAATAATTTAATTTCAATTTGAATAAAAATATATGGAGATACAAATTACCTTATGAGTTATCATTGCTTATTTTCTGGAAAACAGCACATTTTTGGATTCCAAAATGAAATAATATATGTATATCTTGCATGTACTTGGTTCCTAAAAGACATTCAATAAGTAACTATTAAAGTTGTTGTGAATACTGGAGGAATACAAATAGTGATGGATGGCAAAATGTCATTGATACATCTTTAGAATGTACAAGCCAGCTAATATTATAATATTTGAATTATGTTACCATTGCATCATATTTGTATTTTACAGTTAGTGAAGGTAGTTCTCTAATGGATATTGAAAATGTAATCCTGGCTAAAGTTCGTGATGAAGAAGAAGACAACTCAGATGCAGTGTTTAAATCTGACAAGTTTCAACAGGACTTATTTTTTATGGAGCGAGTTATAATGGAAAATATATTTCAGCCAAAACTTGCAGCTTATCGTCAGCTTCCTGTTTTAAAAGGTATTTAACACATTATATACTAAAACATCTTTAAAAAAAATAGTGTTGTTTTGAAATAAAGATTTTATACTTTAAAAAAGATATTTAAATATAATCACTTTTAGACAAGTTTAAGTATTTAAAAAAAGCAAATGGTATTATTATTTCTAAATGCAATCTTTAAACTGAGTTATCACTTATCAGGGAGAAGGAAATGGCAGCTCACTCCGGTATTCTTTCCTGGCGAATCCCATGGACAGAGGAGCCTGGTGGGTTGCAGCCCACGGGGTTGCAAGGCTTCAGATGTGACTGAAGCGACTTAGCACATACACATGCATCACTTATCAGAAGACATTTTTACATAGTTTCCAGCACTAACAGTGACTAGCAGGAGAGTCCAGACCTGGAAGCCCGAAGAAAGAGATAATCCCTTATATTCAAAACCTCATAAGCTCTTTCCTCTCCGTTGTTCCAGTATTGAATTATTCTCTGATGGTCAAACACCCCTTTCCGTTGCCATTGATACTTTCCAGGTTCTAGCTTTTATTACCTCTCCCTAATTTTATTACACAGGCATTCTTCCTGTTCTTATGGCTACAATATTTTTAAGGATTTGAGAGATTATTTAATCCAACTTTTCAATTTTTGAATGAATAAAATGAAGGTTATAGAAACATTATAAAGTTGCATTCAATTCAGTTCAGTCGCTCAGTCGTGTCTGACTGTTTGTGACCCCATGAATTGCAGCAGGCCAGGCCTCCCTGTCCATCATCAACTCCCGGAGTTTACTCAAACTCATGCTCATCAAGTTAGTGATGCCATCTGGCCATCTCATCCTCAGTCTTCCCCTTCTCCTCCTGCCCTCAATCCCTCCCAGCATCAGGGTCTTTTCCAATGAGTCAACTCTTAGGCATTCAACCCATGCCTTTTGATACCATTCCAATTCTCTTTCCACTCTTCCATTCTGGCATGCTGATTTTTCCTAAACCCAGGTTTGAACATGGCATATAACTACTTGAAACCTTCAGTATCTTCCTATTACCTAGAATAAATTACAAACTTCATAGTGTATAATTCAAAGATACTTGCAGTCTGGTCACAGACTACTTTATCTCATTGTAGCACTTTGGAAACCATAAAAGTTAGCCATATTAGATATACCTGATAATCCCCAAACAGAGCCTAAACTTTCTTGCTTTAATAGACTTTTAGTTATAAATATTCTTGGCCATTCACCCTTGTCCTCATCCCATTTTTGCCTACTGGGCAAATTCCTTTATGAAGTCTTTCTTGATTCTTCAAGCCAAAATGAATCTTCTAAATGCCTACATCAAACAATCAGGTTACAAAATTTCATGTGTGGCAAACGGATGTAAGCCTTTTTGTTTACTTACATCTAAGATTATAGAAAAACTGTTTCTTATCTCATATTAGGTTGATATGTAAAAATTTGTATTTTATATATATATATGCACAGTCCCGTCCCATAATAAAAGTTATAAGATTGAAATTTACTGAGTCCTGTAAATTTTGACACTTTTAAAAATAAAAGTGGTGGTAGATCACTTCTTTAAGTATATCTGAGAAGTAGAAATATCATAGAAAAATTTTTAAGGAGTTAAGATTTACACATAATGAAATACACATATTTTAACTGTATAATTTCATACATTTAAAAATATATAAGCCTACATAACTAATACTCTAGTCAAGATAAAGAATATATTTATCAATTCCCAAAATTCCCTTCTCCTGTTTTCCAGTTAAAACTTATATCCTTATAGACAGGCATTAAGCTCATTTCTCTCACTACAGATTAATTGTTTTGGTATAACATATAAATGGGTTCATGTAGTAAGTGTTTGTGTCTGGTTTCTTTTATTTAACATAATGTTTTTGAGATTCATCTACATTGATATGTATATAAGTAGTTCATTTTTTTTCTTGAGTACTATTCCATTTTATGAACATACCATAATAAGTTGAATGTTCATTCACCTATTGGTGGACATCTTTGAGCTATTATGAATACAGCTGCTATGATCAATTTTTTCAATTTCCTTTTGTGGATATGTGTTTTAATTTCTCTTGGGTAAATACTTCAGAATGAATTACTGGATCTTGGGTAGATGTATATATAACTTTTTTAGAAACTAAAAAATACCTTTCTAGATTTTGTACCATTTTACAATATCCCACAAGCAATATATAAGAGTTGTTCCACATTCTTGATAATGCTGATGTTGGTAATCTTTTAAATAATTTTTCATCATTTGTATATCTTCTTTTATGTAATATTCAGTCAAGTTTTTTGTCCATTTTAAAAATTGAATTGTCTTTTTTAAAAAACCAAGTTGTAGGAGCTTATATATGTATATATATTCTAAATACAAGTCTTTGAAAGATACAACTGTTTTTTCTAAGGCTTTAATTTATTTATTTGTCTGTTGAGCAGAGGCTTTTAATTTCAATGAAGTCTTATTTATCAATTTTCCTTTCATAGTAAATGCTTCCCATGTTTTCTCTAAGAAATCTGCCTGCCCCAAGGTTGGAAATATCTTTATCTTGTTTGTGAACTTAGGGCAAAAAATTCAGTATTTATTTCATTGTTAAATATGATGTTAAGTATAGTTTTTTATAGATGCCTTTTATTGATTTGAGGAAATTTCCTTCTCATTCTAGCTTCTAGACATTTTAAAACACAAATGAGTGTTGAATTGTGTTCAAAACATTTTCTAAATTATTGAAACAGTTATGTGATTATTTTCCTTTAGTCTGTCAGTATGGCCAGTTAACATTGATCGATTTTAAAATGTTAAAACAAACCTCACCTGGTTATGCTGCATTATCCTTTTTATATATTGGTGAATTCAATTTTCTAATATTCTGTTGAGAATTTTTTGTGACTGAATTAATGCAACATATTTTTCTATAATTTTCTTTTCTTGTAAAGTTCTTCATAGGTTTTATATTAGTGTTCTGATAAACATAAGTTTTGAAAGTATTCTCTCATTCTCTGTTTTCCAAAAAAATTGTGTATTATTTTTTCTTTAAATGCTTGATAAAATTAACCAGTGAAAACATCTGGGATGGAGTTTTCTTTATAGGAAGTTTTCAAATTGCAAATTTAATTTCTTTGACCAATATGGTTTTAATCTATTCCTACCTGTGTCAGTTTTGGTAATCTGTGAGGAATTTACCCATTTTGTCTATGATTGACATTATTTGCATAAAGTTGTTTATCACATCCTCTCTAAATTCTTTTGACATCTGTAGTATTTCTAACACTATCTCCCATTTCATTCTTGATATTGGTCATTGTGACTTTTTCCTTCTGTTTTAAAGCTCTAGTTGGGGCTTTTAAAATTATACTAATCCTTTCAGAAAATGTCTTGGTTAATCGTTTTCTCAATTCTTTGGGTCTTTTTTCAAAACTTCAAATATTTCCATTTTTATTCTTAGGCTCTTCATCATATTTAATCTATTCTTTTTCTGCTTCTTAAGAGGGAAGGTTGGATCATTGATTTTATACTTTATTTTTATCTAAGATAGGATTTAATACTATAAATTTCCTCCTTCTTACAAATTTTGATATCATATTTTTATTAGTATTCAATTCAAAATAATTTTTAATTTCTCATGTGTGTTTTTCTTCCACCTTTAGGTTAAAATGTGTTGTTTAATTTCCAATTTTTTTTTAACAATTTTGAGTCATCTTTTCTTATTGAATTCTAATTTAACATTGGTGTGGTGGTCAGAAAATATATTCTATATGGTTTCTATCCTTTGAAATTTATTAACAATTGTTTTACAACCCTGCATTGTAGTGGATGTCCCACACTCAAGAAGTCTGGGTATTCTATTATTTAGTGTGGTATTCTTTGGATGTTAATTATGTCAAATTGATTGATGGTGTTTTCAAATATTTTATCTTTATTAGTTTTTGCTGACCTGTTTTATCAACTGAGAGAGTATTGTTAAAAATCTCTACAATTATGGATTTGTCTCTATTTTCTCTAGGATTATTAATTTTGCTGTACATGTCTGAAAACTTTATTATCAGGTATATTCATACTTAAATTGTTCTATTTTATGATGTTTACTTTTTAATTTTTGTCATTATTTTCTCTTTTATTATTAGGAAATGCCCATACTTATTCCAAGACTTGGTCTTGAAGTCTAATATGTGTAATGTTAATATAGCCACACTCACTTTCTTACTCTTATTATTTGTATCAAAGAAAACACAATGCAGACATTCAGTGCTGTAACGTTTATAATGCACAGCACCCAATAAAAATTTACCAGCTGTGTAAATAAGCAGGAAAATGTGAGCTAAAGCTAAAAAGTCAGTCAATAGAAACAGATAAAAAAGTGACTGAGATGGTGAAAGACAGATAAGAACTTTTAAAAAGCTATCATACTCAGAATAGCCAAGACAATATTGAAGAAAAAAGTTGGAGGACTGACATCATTCAACCTCAAGAGTTAATGTTAAGTTACAGTTGTTAAGATGGTGTGGTATTGGTGAAGGAACAGACACATAGATCAATGGAACAGAATAAAGAGCCCAGAATTAGATCCACATAATTATAGTCAACTGATCTTTGACCAAAGAGGAATGGCAATATAATGGGAAAAAAAAAGATAGTCTTTTCAACAAATGATACTGGAACATCAGGATATTTATGGGCAAAATAAATAATCTAAATACAGACCTCATACCCTTCACAAAAATTAACTCAAAATGGGTCATAAACTTCAATGAAATATGCAAAACTATAAGACTTATAGAAGACAACATAAGAAAATATGGATAACCTTGGGTATGGTGATGATTTTTTAGATTTGACACCAAAGGCACAATTTAGTAAAAGAAATAATTGATAAGTTGGACTTCATTAAAATTAAATATCTGCTCAGTGAAAGACATTGTCAAGAGAATGAGAAGTCATGTCACTGACTAGAAAAAATACATGCAAAAGACATACCTGATAAAGAACTTGTCCAAAATATACAAA